AAATACTCAATATTTTATACAACATAAAGTGTGGCCGTTCAAAAATATATCCTGATAAATTGGGCTGAATAAACAAAGATTTATTTTTATTTTCTTTCACAAATCCATCTCTATAGGCCAAACTTTTCTTCCTGCTGCTCTTAACAGCAACACATGCTGATAAGTAAACCTCCCAATAAGCAACCTTTTCCTGCCACTGTCTTATCTTCTCAGCCTCATTTGAAAACAGTGCCCACTAATAAGAAGTTATAAATAGAGCTGGTGCGCTCATGACTGCCTGTGCCCAGGAAGAGGATGGCGCCAGTTTGGCCCCAAGCACTGTGAGTCCATGTGGCTCTCTGGAAGACTCACAGTATGTGGCATGGCCGTGCCACTCACTGCTATTTCATGAGCGGAAGTAAAAGTTTGCTGAGCTGTTACTCAGAGGAACTCTGACATTAGAGCTTGTGACTGCAGTGATTGTTATGAGAATGGATGCACAGACCAAAAGGCGAGGATGAATCAATAGGTAGATTTAATGTTTCAAATAGATTTGATTACTAGAAAAACAAAAATAGGTGTTTGAAATATCTTGTTGAAATCAAAAAGCTGAACATGAATGGGGTACAGAAAAAACAGGACTGCAGATGAATGTTATACATTTTCGTAAAACATTACAACCTGATATTGCCTTGTGTTCATTTTTATGCATTTAACTGCAAATGTGTTAAAGTTTATGCAAACTTTTCCTGTATTTTGTGGCTGCAGTTGGAGCTCTGGAAGTTAAGGATTATAATTATGTCTCTTATCCTGATTAGTTTTTCACTGTTGATACTTTAAAGGGGCGTCAGACCCTCAGCCACATGTTTTGACTTGAATTTAAAGCTTGATGTTCTGTGTCTTCCTGCTGCAGGTTTTACTCTTAAATGCACCATGCCCCCTTTTTTCAAAGCCCAGGCCCTTTCTTGTGGTGATGTTAAGCAGCCTTGTTTTTTTACCCTGTTGGACTAAGTACATTACCTCACATTGCATGTAAAAGTAAATGTCTCATATTTTACAAATACAAATGTAAATATGTGCTGTCAAAAAATATACCTTCATAAATTAAGCAAAAAAAACAACTATGCCAATATGTATAAGTATTATACAAAGTGTTATGTAGTATTTGTTGTATTTCTGTAAACATCATATGTTTTATCAGAAAGAAAATATAATATCACAGACAGAAATATTACTGAAAATATTCCCCCTCACAGAGGCCTCCCTGCCTGCATGGAGAGATGCCAAATACTCATAAGGTGTGTGTGTGTGTGTGTGTGTGTGTGTGTGTGTGTGTGTGTGTGTGTGTGTGTGTGTGTGTGTGTGTGTGTGTGTGTGTGTGTGTGTGT